AAATTAAAGAAGGTTACATCAAAGGAGATAGAACGAAGCACATATCACCAACATTCTTCTCTTATCACCAAATCACGTCCAGTGAAAATCCGGCAGATCTCTTCACCAAATCTCTACCACCAAAGAAGTTCATAGAACTTGAACAAAAAATCGACATGCGTCGTCTTCAAAATTTATGTTAATTTCAGAGAGAGTATTTGAATGCACTACACTCTTTTTTCCTTCATCGGGTTTTTACCCGCTGGGTTTTTCCAAGAAACAATACATCTAAATACAACGACATTATAAGACCATCAAATTTACAACTTATTTTCACGCTCATTTTCACAATAAGTTTTTAAAATAACAAATACATATTCAGGGATGAACATTCAAGGGGGAGTGTTGTAAGACCATCAAATTGACAAGCGTGAATTGTTCATCCTTGTCATTAGGACACCAAGCTTTTCCCGATTCTTGTAACCTAGTTAGAACAGATGACTCAATTTGTTATTACCACCAAATCTGTAGATTATCCTTTAGATGACTAATCATGAAGCTCAACTACTATAAATAGGAGCTTGATGAAGCCTTGTAAACATTCAGAAAATCTTGATATTATGAAGAAGAAGTGATTTAGAGCTTATTATTAATATATCTATCTCATAAATATAGTTTTCATCTACATCACTTCACAACAATTATATGGATTATTATTAGTTGTGTACATATAATTACAAGCAACTCAAACGCTTTAAAAGGAATATAAATTTTAATCATATTCTTGTACGTGAGAAGATAATTTCTTGTTTTATGATTTTATTAATCAAATTAAATTTGATTATGTATAATAGCAGAAACTAGTTTAAAGCCGGAGGCAATGCCCTGGTAGCGCGTTAATTTGAAATGAATTAAAATGAAAAGTACTAATAGATACTGTGAATTATTCATATATAGGATCCAAAATTGAATATAATGCATTTTTACTATGGTCTGGTCTAGGGGCGTAGTTAGGGGCAACCCTGGCTCCGGCCCACCCCAAATTTTAAAAATGTCTATATTTTTTGTATAAAAAATTTCGTGTAATTTTTTTTCCGATCCATTGCTCTAGCTCTGCCTCTGATATGATCTAATGACAACCAATAATAAATTTGTATTTGTTAAATGACTATATGTAAAATCATCCATCAGCATATATTATACTTCGTATATTAATACTCTTTAGTCTATACCAAGGTTTTTTATTGCGGTACCATTGCAATTGTGGTTACTGCGGTTGCGGCTATCGCAGCCTTTGCAATGCATATTCCCGCTGATGCGGTGTAATTTAATTTTATGTTCAAATGAAATAAGAAAAAAGAATAGTGTTCATGCTTGATACGATCCAATATAACGCCGTTGCGGTCATGTTGGATCAATAATTAGAAACAATTATCCCCATATGACTAAAAATTCTTTCACTTTCCCAATCTATGACCTAACTAGTTTCCCCCCAAAATAATACCTAAATTCATATTATTTAATTAAAATTCGTAAATAATAAATAAATAATTTTTTATGGACAAATATACCCTTTACACTATACCTATAAAACTCTAACCTCCCTACTCTTTTTCTACAAACCCTAGCAACCAGCCACACACATCCACCAGCTTCATGCGCTCACCGCACACCCCTGCCCCCCCGGACCACTGCACGCACCCACAACCGCCATCCACCAGTCCATCTCTAGTCACAGGTTTATCTGACCACCCCAGTTTCACGCTTGTTCGCCGCAGCCGCAGCCACCAGCCGACCACGCCAATATGACACCGCCATCCCTACACCTGCTCGCCAACATCGTCCCAAGCCTTGAGCGTTGCTGTCCTTGTCGCCGTCCAGCCGCACGGTTGCACTCGATCCAACTCGCTGCCGCTCAGCCGCGCCCCTCTGCCGTTCCTTAGGGATGTAAAAAAACTGACCCGCAATGACCTGCCCTGGCCCGAGACATTTGGGGCGGGTCCAGTCCAGCCCGTCTTGCAAATGGGGCGAGTCCGCCCCACCCCGCCTATACATTGGGGTGGGTCCGGATATTAGTATTGACCCGTTCTGCCCCGACCCTCCCTGACCCGACCCGCTCAATATATAAGTATACATACTTTTTCTTAAATTATACTACAAATAAACTTCAACAGACATTTGTGTGTATAAAATAAATCATTATTTTTTTGATCTTATAATATATTAGAATGAGATGAACGACGGATTATCAATGTCTTCTTTATATATAGCATTTTAATACATATATTCAATTATTAATATAATTAAATAGATTAACTATTCAAGTCTGAGTAATTTTTTTTTTTTTGAAATTTTTAGTGTATCATCAATTTGATTTAATATATTAATTTTTAATTATTATCTAGAGATAAATTTTATGTAGATTCAATGGGTAACAACTTCCCACAAATAAAAATACATACTAGCAAATTAGGTTACGACAAGGCGGGGTGGGGCGGGTCATGGGTCAACAAGTTTGGACCCGTGCAGGTCACGAGGCGGGGTGGACTTGCCCCGCCAAGTCACGGGGCGGGTCCGGGTCTTGCAGTACCCGCCCCACCCCGACCCATTGCCATGCCTACCGCTCCTACAACTCGGATTCTTCAGTCAAGGCGGTCGAGGTTGATGGCGAACCGAGGTTGAAGACGAAGCGTAGGTTGAAGACGATGAAAGAAGTGTGCAATGAATAATTTATATTTAATGCCGTGAACATCACAAGAAGTGCAATGAGTTACGACAAAAGTGCAATGGTATGGCAAGAAGTGCAATAATGTAAAAAGTGCAATGACATGAAAAGAAGTGCATTAAAAATGACATGACAAAATATCTATAAATTTGTAGCATTTTATGTAATATTGTTCTATAACTCCACCATGAAGTGCATTATATTTAACTAGATGTTAAAACTACAGTTATGAAATCTAAAAAACGCTAAATTCATAACATTTTTGTTATGTCGTGCAGTGAATACCGCCATAAAGTGCAATAAATGTAGTGCAATAACGCCTTCATAAAGTGCACTATTTTTACCTGGGCGAAATTAGTGTAAATGCATATTTCTTAAAAATGGTATTTTTGCCCTTCCACAATTTAATATAACGATTTTTTTTTCCGATTCTTGGTCATATTTCGGGAAAAAAACATAACTAGTCACGTTTCGGGAAACTCACTTTGTTTTAGTCATATCCCGGGAATTTTTTCCAATAATTAAGCATATTATGTAGATTTTACAAATTAATTAAATGTTGTAATGTAAAAGTATGAATTATTTTTTATATCATACGAGCATTAAAACGAGTGTCAAAATCTGGATTTGGATAGGTTGACATGCCGACTTATCATATAAGCAATATGACAATAGGTTGGCATGCCAATAGTGATAGTTAATAGGGGCGTAGAATTTAATCCATTAACTACACGTCCGCAGCCACTGAGTGGATAGTACCCGAATTATGACGTTAAATTATGGGTCCGTAGCCACAGAGTGGACAATACCCAAATCTTGAACTTTGATCGTTCAGGGTCCGCAACCACGAAGTGGACAGTACCAAATCTTGAATTTTGATCATTCATGGTCCGCAGCCACAAAGTGGACAATACCCAAACAAAAAGCCTGACACACACAATGATCAGTGTCGATACTACTCATATGGTCCGCAGTCACGGAGTGGACAATACCAGATGAAGAATGTCCCATTTATGCAGTCAATTAAATTAATGAGTAAAATTATTGAAAATAAGAAATGTATAGAAATTTGATTTGGAAATGCAGGTTGAGAAAATCGGAATGGTACATTGAAAAGTGAAAAATGCTAAAAGCATAGAGTATGTCTGTTTACGATGCTTAACCGACGATAAAGCAGACAGATCCCTCTTCGCACTCAATTTATTTTTAGAAAAAAATCACATATTCAAAAACTGCATTAAAAGCTTAACAAAGTTGCAAAAACCAGAATCAAATTTGATAAAAATCTGATATATATAAAGTAAGAGATTACGGGTGATTTGTGTTAACCAAGTGAATAGTGTCTGAGATAATCTTAGCGGGCCGGAGGGAGTACGTATTAAGAGCTTATTGAATATTTTAGTTCGGTTTACTGATTCAGTCTATTCGATTTTTCACGGTTTCGATTCATTTTGATTTAGATCATGTTTGGTAACACAAAAATTGGCTGATTCGACTAATTCTGCTAAAATTTATGAAATTCTAGCTGAAGCGGCTGCATTGGTTGATTCTGAAGATTTATGAAAACATTATTTTTAAAATATATTTTACTAATAAAATAATGAAAAAATTATATGTAAAAATAGCTAAAATGGTCATCTACAGTAACTTCAGCCAATATAGCCAGAAAAATAACTCCAACCTTACTTTTTCTTATTACTCCCTCCGGTTCTTAATTAAGTTCCTAGTTTGACTTCACACATATTAAGAAATAAATTTGACTTTACTGTGGAGTGCATTGTTTGAACACTGTTTTGGTGTAAATCATTTGCCAAATAAGGAAAGGTTTGAAGTAGGAACTTTAATATGGACTATCCCAAAATGGAAAGTAGGAACTTAATTACGGGACGGAGGGAATATTGCCTTAAAAAATATTATTACCTAATTCAGTGCGCGAAAACAAAAATTACGTGTTTGGTAAATAAATTAGTTGATAAGTCCGATAAGCCGAAAAACAATGTTAGCAAACGACCTCTTAATTCGATTCGAAAGAAATACTAGCAAAAAGTGGGTCTATGCCACTTTTTAGAGGGTGTTTTGAATTGATTCTGCTTCAACTTCTTGTTTAAAGTAGAAGTCGAATCAGAATCTATTTTCAGAAGCTCGTCTCTCATAACTTTTAAAAAACTGATTCCAAGAATAAATAACAACAGAATTACTTCTGCACTTTTACCCAAACACTTCAACTTCTGTTTCTGCTCCCGGAGCAGAAGCAATTTTAAAATCAGATCCAAACACCTGCTGCATTGAGAGCTAGGATTTTTCTCATCAAAATGATCCAATTCCCGTTTTGGAGACTCCCTAAATCCATGTTTACTCAGACATTTCTCCGTCGCCGCAATGGCGGCTGCCGCGGGAAGCCACCGTCTTTCTTCATCAGCTTCCGATCCACCTACTCGACGACTGCAGTTGAATCTCCTTCCTTCTCGACCACTCTCTTGTCGGATTATCTCTCAGAATCGCTCGGATTCTCACGAGAAGAGTCTACCTCTATAGCCGCCAGGGTAACGCGCTACTCATCCCCAACGAAACCCATCTTGGTTGTAGATTTTCTGAAACAAATGGGTCTTGATTTGACCCAGATTAAAGCTTGCGTTTCCAAATACCCCAAATTGCTATACTTCGACGTTGACAAAAACCTAAACCCTAAACTCCAGTGCCTTCAAGACTTAGGGTTTTCCGGGTCGGGTATTGCTGATATAGTTTTCAAAGGCGGGGGATTTCTTGACAGGGGACTGGATACCAATCTTAAACCCAACATAGCTCTTCTTAAGGAAGTGTTTGGCAATAATGAGGATGTGAGCAGTGTAATAAAGAATTATCCTGCCCTTCTCCGTACCAGTTCTCAGGTTCTATACGACAATGTTTCGTATTTTCAGAAGCTTGGGTTTTCGAACCAGAGGATTAAGTGGTTCATGGCCAGGAGACCGATGGCATTCCGATTTCCTCTTGAATGGTTTAAGGAACGAGCCCACATGCTGGAAAATGATTTCGGCATTTGTCCAAATTCCACAATGTTCTTCTATGGGATGTATGCTATGACTTCAGCAAGCAAGTCATCAATGGAGAAAAAGTTTGCAGTTTTTAGGAGTTTTGGATGGTCTGACTCTGAAATAGTAACTATGTTTCAGAAGCAACCTTTTTATTTCACTCTCTCCGAGGGCAATTTGAGAAAGAAGTTGGATTATTTCATGAATGGACTAGGGTGCAAGATGGATTTCTTGTCCACACGATCTGTTTTTACCTATAGTTTGGAAAAAAGGGTAATGCCCAGGGTAGCTGTCCTAGATATTTTGAGGGAGAAGAAGCTGTTTGTGAAAACTGTATGTGTTTATACTCTTTTGTGCTTAACAGAATCAAAGTTTGAGAAGCAGTTTCTGCTGCCATATAAAGATTTAGTGCCTGATCTGTGTGAATCATACATGACAAGGACCATCCAGTAGCACCACACTTCAATATGGTGATGTTTGTTTTGCATTCTTTATCATTCCATTTTTAATGTGTGACTGTTAGCTGGTTATTGTTATTTTGGTCACTGACTTGGAGTAACATTGTTATTATTATTAAGAAATTTGATACAAAAAGTAAAATTAAATTCAAAGTTTTGGCTTCTGTCCGAGTTTCCACTTTCCACTTTGTCTCAAACTGAAAGAATGTTACTCGTGATATCTCATTAGCAGCCTGCCTTGTTAACTTGCTAGTATTGAAATTATTAGCCATTGTAAATGATTGCTCTAACCCTTGTACAGTTGTACCTATAAAAATGAATGAAATGATAAGTATCCACAACTTTCAACTCTAATTCCTCGAGTTGGACAGTTCAAGTGTTGATTCTATGGAGGGATTGGGCTGGGCCGGATCGGGTAGCTGGCCAGGTAGCTGACCGGGTAGGCCCATCCTAGTCCATCCCTAGTTGATTCTAAGGGGACCTGTACTTTAAAATTGAGGGAAATGAGAGAATGGGAGGGAGATAACTAATTATACTAGTAGCCGAAAAGGGTTCACTGACTTCACTCTCATATGACCCCTCCCCCCATTCAGCCATTCAGGGAAGGTCAATCATTAATTTATTTTCTAAAAAAGAACAAGATTATTTTGAGAAAGAGCAAAAAGGAAAACATGAAGATGGTTGATTAACGAAGTATATTGTCAGCTACTCAGCTGTACTGTAATTCAGCAATTGTCGATAACCAGGCCTTCACAGCTCCTCATTCTCTGGTCATTCTCTACTCTAAAAGGAAAACATGAAGATTGTTGATTAACGAAGTACTCCCTCCGTAACTTAAAAATCTTCCCACTTTCTTTTTTCGTCTGTAACACAAAAATCTTCCCATTTCTAAATCTTCCCATCATACCCTCAATAATTCTTAAAATAATACACTATTACAACTACTTTTTTTGGATTTATCCTACATTCCACCACATTATTCCACTATTTTCCCATCATACCCTCAATAATTCATATCATCTTTCACTATTCTTAGAGCCCGTTTGGTAGCACCAAAATCGGCTATTTTGGCTGATTCTGCTGAAATTTATGATATTCTGGCTGGAGTGGCTGTTTTGGCTGATTCTGCTGATTTAAGAAAAAAATATTTTAAAAATATATTTTATTAATAAATTAAAGAAAAAATTATATGTAAAAATAGCTAAAATGGTCCTCTACAGTAACTTCAGCCAATACAGTCAGAAAAGTAACTCCAACCTTACTTTTTCGGCTTATTACACAATTCAACGCGCGAAAGTAAAAGTTACGTGTTTGGTGAAAAAGCTGGCTGATAAGCCTGATAAGCCGAAAACAGAGTTCTCCAAACGGGCTCTTAATCTACCTACTTTTGAAATGAGAAGATTCTAAAGTTACGGAGGGAGTATATTGCTATCAATACATACAATGATACAATCCATACCACCTCACCACATTGCTCACCAGTTACATGCTTTCATTTGCCAATACTTAAAGACATTGATTTTAAGTTCATGGGTTTACTAGCTTAATTTATGTATTACTCATTCCTGTAAAAATATAAGAAGTATTACTTCTTCATGAAAGAAATATTACCTCTGTTCATTTTTTGTTGCAATACTTCATTTTCACGTTTGCCAACGTACAATTTTTACAATTAATATATTAAATTTGTTATTAGAAAAAAATAGATTTAAATACTCTAATAAATATGTGACGAATTCAACAAAAATTTTCAAAATTTAAATTCCTAAAACATTAATAAATTACATGTAGTCAAGTTAGAGTATTTGATCGAAGAATGTAAAATTTAAAAACGGAAGTAATATAAAATATACTAAAAACTTTATTCGAGATACTCAATAGAAAAATATACTAAAAAGTTAATTGACTTATGAATTTTAAAAAAGCACTCAACACTGAATAAAAAATGTCATGCTAGTCATAGCACGCACAAAATTCACTACAAATCTTGTGTTATTAATGTAGAAAAACGTCTAAAAATTTGTGTAATAAAAATTATTTATATCATGTCAGTTCAGCTTAGGCTCATTTCAAATTTTACACATTAACTTTTATACATCCAAGCTCCAATAAAATGGTTGAACTTGAGCTAAAAATAAAGTGAAATATTGTGTACCACATATTTTTTTTTCAAAAAAGGAAATGTAACTCATTTTGGAATAATTTAAAAAGGAAAGTAAAACAAGAACCAGGAAGTAATACTTTCAATAATAAAAAAAATTCTTTTTTGTGGGGTCCACACTTTTTTTGTGGGCCGTGGCTTCCTTGTTACCTTTCATCTTCTTTCTTACACCAAGGCAAGAGGGTGAATAGGGGTGCCAAATCCATCCCCTTTGAGTCTTTGAGTTTCGTGTATCAGACACCTCCAAAATACATGTGTTGAAGGTTTTTTAGGGTGAAAAGTTCAAACTTGCTTTGTCACTCAGAATTGCAACTAGACTTAAAACTTTGTCAAAGTTAATTGACACACAAAATAATAAAGTTAAAATTATGTAGCTAAATTTTATAGAGAGGATGGAGAATTAATAAGGTTCACAAGTTGATGGGAAAATGAAAATAGAAAAGGAAAGTTCACGAAATTATAAAAGACCGAAAAAAAGACCGAAAAATGCTTCACATTTTACTTTTTAATCAATGTTAACAAGATTGACCCAGCGTTGACCGCTGACATCTTGGCCGAATCGATCACTGGTCCTATTTACAACATGGGGTAAAAGATTTCATGATTGGAAGAAGCAAAGGACAACCGTATATACAGCTTTCATATCTTTGTAAAATAATAACATACCAAGAAAGTATACATGTTCTATAATATTTTATCATCTTCTTCTTCAAGCTCAAGCCCCTCTGCTGCAAGTAGCTGGTTGATGATCATCCTTTTCTCATCATCTGATTTTCTTCGCATTATGTCCCTCTTCCGTAACACAAGGGTATGCCGCCTCAATGTGTTGTTAGCATTCTCCAACGACGACTTCTTTTCTTTTTCCAATAGTTTCCTCTCCTCTTCAGGGTCCACCTAAAAGTTCAAATTTGATTAATACACAGTACTTTTGTGCACCGAATAATTAATCAATTATTAAATTCTGCACCTTTGACCGTGCAAGGCGACGTGCTTTAAGATTTAATTCACGCTGCTGCTGTTCACCCCATGCTGCGATGGCCATATCGCCCCTTTGGTCAAATGCTTTCCGCTTTTGCATAAGCCATTCCACCCATGCTTGTGATGCCTGAATTGTAAACAAAAATATTAAGAAACTTCCAAATTATTAAAGAATCAGTTTAAGCAAGCTGTTATAAACTCACCTTTAGAGGGTCCACCCGATTTTCAGTGTCATATACTCTCCGTTTATCATTATCTAGCAGCAACTCATATGCGGCCTGAATCTTTATGAACCTAGTCTCAGCAGTTTCCCCATCTTCAAGAGTTCCACTGCCATCATAAACTTCAAACAAAATTATAAAACAGATAAGTAATAATTAAAAATGTTCAAAAAAAAAAATTGATGACTTGCAGATATACTTATGCACTAAAGTTCTAAAGAGTGTTATGAAGTATAGCTTAATTGGGCTTATGCGGGGCTTGAGAGGGCCTAGGCAGGTCATGCTGGCTGAAATAAGAAAAATAAAGACAGGCAAGGGTGGTCTAACACCAAGGCGGAATTAGGCGGATACTTTTAAAAGAACGCTACAACAAGATGGCAAAGCTTATGCACAAACCATCTGGATGGTAGAACTTGACCAAACGCCTATATGCCACCTTTATTTGCTCTTCATCTGCATCCCTTTCCAACTCTGCATTTATAAAATTGGGTTTTGCATATGGTGTAAAACTGCCTGAACATTAATACGAGTAATTAATTAAAGCAAACGAACATGAATGCTTTGATTGGATAGGATAACATAATTAAACCTTTGAACTGAGGTGCATATACATAATTGTTATTTGGATAATTACTAGGTTAAATGGGTAATGTAGTACAAGATTGTTTGGAAGGAGTTTTATGCTAGGTAATCATATCAGAATTACTTATAATGAGCTTAACTTCTGAAAACCCTCACATTAAGAGAAACTCTCGAAAACTGAAGTAGATTGTTTTTAATTGAACTGGTTTGAGACCCAGACCAATTCAAACCAGACTTCGACAATTATAAAATATACGTAGAACATACATCTACCAAACCAAGCTAATTTAGACTAGACGTAAACATATAAGAAAGTTACCGTCCAAATAAAAACATACTTAGGAGGTTCTCTCAGGTGCAGTAGATTATCTGAAAACCAAGGATTCTCATTCTAAAATAGTACTCCGTATAAACAAGTTAAACCCATATTTAAATCTGGAAGAACCTATATATACTCTGACACAAAGTAGAAAAGATCAGGCATGACTGCATCAGCATAGGTATACACATTAGGTTAAAAATTTCTTAAAATGATAAATTCAGAACCACCTGCACTTCAAGCATTCAAGCTCGTTCCTTTCTCCTAACTTGATTGGTAATTTCTCTCACTCTCTCTCTCTGTCTCTCACAGAGTCGAAATTATATTCTATATTGATACTCCGGTGTAAATGATGCATTTTCAAGACAATTAATTACGAAAATCGAAATCTACACTTAAATAAGTAGGATGAAATTAAAGTACCGAGGGTTTCATAAGGAGACTTAGAGGTGTCCCAATTGTACGAATTAGTAGCCACGCTCCTCAAATGACGTTGACTCGCTCCATTCAACGGTAGAACTCTCCCGGACAAGAGAGCTGTAGGCTTGGTGCTAGGGATCCGACCCGGAAATTGACCCGCCGATTTGACCTGAAGGTATCTGCAACTAATGGTGATTGAAGAGAAGAATGGATAAGAAGGTTTACAAATTATCCTCAGATTGCTGCTCATGCTTCCTCTTTTCTAATCTCCCTTCTAGTAGCTATTCAATTACACACGATTGACTGTTCCAGAACAAAATTTAAATTTCATAATGATGGAGTTGCAAAAGTCATAAATATTCTAAGTTTTCAAAATTTAAATTTCATAAGTGATCAAAATTTAATGTCTATTGTTAAAATTGAATTTATAGGGAGTAGGAGGGCATTAGTCCAACATAAAGCAGGATGTCTACGAGACTACTTATATTATTCAAAAGTATTTATCAGTTTAGTCTAAGAAGTCATGCATTGAATACTAGTAGTATAAAGCAGGATGTCTACTAGACTACTTATCCAAGAATGAAAGCTTACCGAATAGATGAACCAAAACTATCCAAGAAGGTAATAACATACACGACTAAGAAAGGGGGGAAGAAGAAACCAGAGATGAAGAGGTGAAGATACGAGAAAAAGATGAGTTACTAGCCTTTCAATTTCTTTTTGATCCCATCCATGATGGTTCGGTTCATGTTTTCCACCTAACCATTGGCCTGCGGGTAAGCCACCGAGGCCTTCGAATGCCGGATACCCCACTTGGTCAAATATGTCTCAAAACCCCGTCCGACGAACTGCCGGCCGTTGTCTGTGATGATTTGCTCTGGCAGGCCGAAACGACATATGATGTTCTGCCAGACGAACCTCTGGCATTGATATTCAGTGATAGTGGTCAGAGGCTCGGCCTCTACCCATTTGGTGAAGTAATCAATTGCCACTATGATAAACTTCCTTCCGCCGGTCGTCCTGGGTAGAGGCCCCAGCAAGTCGATTCCCCATCTTGCAAAAGGTAGGGCGACGGTCGTCGGGGTGTAGAAACTCGCCGGCCGTCCTGAAACAGGGGCATACTGCTAGCATACTACGCATTTCTGAGTGTGATTGTAGCAATCTTGTTGAATCGTGGTCCAGTAATAGCCCTGTAAGATGATTTTCCGAGCCAGAGTTCTGGGTCCATGATGGCTCGAGTAGATGCCTTCATAGATTTCTTCCAGAACTGCTACAGCAAGGTTCGGCGGAAGGCATCTTAGATATGGTCCGCCGAACGTCTCCTTGTAGAGTTGGCCATCGATGATCTCAAAATTTGGGGCACGTCTTTTAATCCATGTCGCCTTCCCCGTGCTGCCATCAGCCGGTGGCTCGGGGAGGGTTCCATCTCTAATGTAGTCTGCAACCTCCTTCAGCCAGTTGGGTTCGGCCAAGGAGATGGCCTCCACTCGGATTGTCTCTGTTGCCGGTGTTTGGAGTGTCTCATGTCTCACGAACCTTGTGATGTGCCGGGGGATGGTCGTCGTCGGATCGTCGGATGGGGGGTTGCCTAGCTTTGATAATATATCAGCCTCGACATTCTCCACCCGGGATACTTGCTCAATTATCACTTGTTCGAACTGCGCGGTTTGCTCCTTCGCCAGCTCTTTATAGACCTTCATCCTTTCCTCCCGAGCTTCAGCCGTTCCGTTCATCTGGGTGACCACCAACTGGCTATCCATTCTCACCTTCAGACGAGTTGCGCCGAGTGCCTTTGCGCATCTCAATCCCGCAATGAGCGCCTCGTACTTAGCCTCGTTGTTGGTGACCTTGAATTCGAACTTCATGGAGTAGTAGGCTTTGAATCCCTCAGGGGAAGTAATTACTGCTCCTCCGCCACATCCTCGCGCACTCGAGGCCCCATCGGTGTACATCTCCCACTAGTTGTCAAAGTCGTTGGTGTAACACCGTCCCCAAATATATTTACTTCTATGTAAATAATGTATTGAACCTTATTAAAGGATTAATGAATTTACGAAGTTGTAAATTTTTGTTATTTTCTTTCGCGTGAATAGTAAATTGCACGTGGGGCCCACATCGGGAGCGGGGACCACCCAACATTCCCGAGACCACATATTTTATTCATCTTGGTCTAGATGATAAATATATAGTGGTGGATATTTCATTTGGGCCATGGAAAGGCCCAGAGTTGACCGATCGATCAATAGAAGCCCAAATTACCGGTACTGGTAATTTAACGAATAACGGCCCGAACTGAATTTCGGAGGCTTATAAATTAAAGTTGGGGAATGTATATTCATTATATATGTCATAATGAGTAAGAGCACATAATATATTTTATTTGACCCGATAAAATAAAATATATTTAAAACAGTCCGAAAAAATACAACTTTCGGGACAAATTGTACACGTCGGGGCAAAAAGGGTTGACCTCCCACATGGGTGGGGGCCAACCCACGATTTTTGCCACTCAAATTGAGGGCTTGGTCGGCTGTTTGAAGAGGAAGGCATGGGAGGGAGAGGTTGACATGATCTAAAAGGCATCAAACAAAATGAGGTGGCCCCCCATCCACACCCATTTGTTCAATGAGACAAAGGGGTAAGCCTCACCCCTCTCCCACCCTCATTTTCGGCCAAGAGAACCCAGGAAGAGCAAGAAAAACCACCCAGCCTCCTTCCTCCATTGTTGAAGAAAAATCATCAAGGAAGAATCACCCAAAAAAGGAGCTAAAGTGCTAAAAGTGTGAAATAACTAAGGTAATGACCTTATTATAACTACTCCTTTATTTTTCTTCTACCATATGAGATATATATCATGTGAAGAATCCTTGAGAGGGTTCTACATGTTATAAGTATGGATTAATGGGTTGGAAAGTGATTCTATGTCCAAGAACGGACTTAGAAGCCAAAACGACCGGTTCACCGGAAAATAACCGTTTTGAGGTTATTTGTATTAATACGGGTTTTATGATTATAAAACCTTGTTAGGAACTTGTGAAAGGTATTTCAAGTGATTTCACAAAGTTGGTAAAGTCGCCGGAGTTGTCTCCGGAGTTGACCGAAAGTCGCCGGAGTTTCACCGGAGTTCAACCAAGAGGGGTAGAACTTCATAACGCTAGTTCAAGGTGAGTGGACGGCTTAATATCTTATAACTTTTGGGTTAATTATAAGATTACCTAAATAAATGTTATATGAATTCATAATGATGTTTAAAAGATATTTAAACATGTGATTAGCCAATAGGGTTAAGTTTGTATGAAAGAAATAGATTGTTTATGCATAGAATATGATATGAAGAATTATATAGAATGCATATTTGCTTGAAGTGTATTAGAAGCACAAATGAATATTTTAACTTAATTATGTGATGATTAAGTTGATTTGTACAAGGTTTGTAATGGCGGTCAACGACCACGTTGACCGGTGGATAATGGATTAATTAATACCGGTCGATATTAATTAATTGTACATTTACATAATTGCATGGCTTTGCATGGAATGTGATACATAAGTTTTATGTATTGAACTAGTTATGAATGACTAAATATGATATAGGCCCTATCTAGCGTGATATGTGGTAAGTCATAGGTCGGGTGGAGTACCCAAGGATCGGGCGGTTATCCTCAAAACTCGGTTATATAGGGTGGAGTACCCAAGGATCGGGCGGTTATCCTCAAAACTCGGTTATATAGGGTGGAGTACCCAAGGATCGGGCGGTTATCCTCAAAACTCGGTTATATAGGGTGGAGTACCCAAGGATCGGGCGGTTATCCTCAAAACTCGGTTATATAGGGTGGAGTACCCAAGGATCGGGCGGTTATCCTCAAAACTCAATTATAGGGTGGAGTACCCAAGGATCGGGCGTGTATCCTCAAAACTCATAGATTACATTTAATGATCTAGGACCGGGCGGTGTCCTTATGATAATTTATTTGACCAAGGAGGAGTTCTATACACTCATAGGTATATGGGTGGGTTGGGATTTAAGTCAAGGATATTGACTACTATTATTTTCCCAAATAAACAATGACCTACGGGTCGGGTATTTCCAAGTGTATGTATACTAATATGTATTTCAAACTTGGGGAAAGGACTATACGTATATGTATCATCCTATGTTTGGGTCTTATACTTGAAACGCTAGTTATTCTATATTTAGCCTGCTACTCGCTCGGTACTTGTACTGACCCCTTCGGGGGGCCCCACCATTTTCAGGTTGAAGCTAGGGCTTGCTACCTGCACCTTTCTACGGGTGACATCAATCAAGGAAGACGTGGTTCGTGCTTCCTCATTTTATTTCAAATTACCAAACATTGCTCATGGATATTTTTATTTGTCATAAACTATTCTTTTGGGGCTTGCATGCCCATGTTATTGGCCGGTTGTGGCTTATGACTTACCGTTGAATACTTCCGCTATTCATTGGTTTAAATGTGATGTTGTTATGTATGTTTACTACTGAGTATGGATGGATTATTTCTCTCGAACGCCTTGTGTAATCAAGTGAGGTTGACTCGCGGGTGACGTCACTTGATTATACGGCGGTTGTACACGCGCTTGGATTGCGGTCTGGGGCGTGACAATTAAGTGGTATCAGAGCCATCTCAGTTCTAAACTATATAATCAACCTCTCACATGAGATTTTATGAAAGAGTTTTTACCGAAAACCATGAGCATTGGATTTTGACGTTATGGGACTATTGGAGCCTAAGTTGCAAGGCCTCTAATTGTTAAGACGGTACCCTTAACAATTGGTATGGTGGTGACTTAGACCAATACGTGTCTGTAACGTTCTTCCGTCAATTGACATTTATAGGAGTCTAATGACTCATCCATATTTCTTTCAGAAATGGAGGGCAGGCGAATGCGGACCAGGAACAATCCGAGGGGGCAGGCGCCGGTAACATCCCAAAGGGGAAGCCGGGCTGCATCTCGGGGTTCAAGAGGAGGCCGTGGAGGCCGTGGAAGCCGTGGAGGTCATCAAGCTCAAACTGTGAGTGATGGCCATGTAAGCTCGGTGTATGAAACCAACACCGAGGACTATGACTCTACGTATGTTCCTGAGACAGAGCATGAGGAGACCCCATATGATGGGGGTGACACATACACCGATGAGGACAATGATGAAAGTGATGCCCGCTTCGCCCAAATGGGTGAATTACTTGAGTGGTATCAAAAGGAGAAACAGAGGAGAGACCTTAGGCGCCAAGCGAGGCGTGGCTCTCGTGGTGGTTCGGGTCAAGGGAGCCGGGGAGCTTCCGTGG